AAAAAAAAAAAAAAAAAAAAAAGAGTTTAAAGACATAAAACTGAAACAAACCTATATGAAGGAAAAAATAGAAAAAATTCCTTATATTTTGTGCCAATTTTCTAAGTACTATTGAAAGGGGCTCTCTCTGCTTCTATTTCAATGACACATGTAAGTGAGAATATGCTGTATAGATTATTTTCAAACATTGTAAAGAATTTTTTTCTCTCTTTTTTGCCTTCAATGTTCTCTTTGATTAAAGCCGCCTGTACATTTGTTCAGGAGAATGAGGGGGATGCTAAGTGCTTCTGGCATTACTTATTAATTTGTCTGTAACTTAATGAAATATATGGATCATATTTTCCACACCGTGTAATGAAATCCTTGGTGAGGAGGAAGTGGCATTTGTGTTCCATGTTAAATAAGCCATCTGCCTCTGGAATGTAGCTCTCTCAGTGTGCTCAGAGTCGCTGTCTGCTGGCTCCACCTGGTGCTGCCTGTTCCTAAGTGTGGGCATTTTTCCACACCCATGTGCAAACACATAAACACATACACACCCACTTCAATGTGCACACAAGCACAGACTCATACACATACCCACACACACCACATGTGCACACCCATGGACATGCACATATGTGCACATTCCACACCTACACCAGGCACTCAGGCATGTCCACACCGACACACATGCACATGTGTGCACACACATATACACGCACACACACACACATGTTCCGTTTCAGTTGTTGCAAACTCCATACTTAACCAATTACCATAATGAAGTGTAATGCTGCTGAGAGTCCTCTTAACCCTCTTACCACTTTGCGACCCTGCAGCTGACCAGACAGGGATGCTGTTCGTAGGAGATGCTGTTCTACAGGTCAGTATTTCAAACTTTAATCCTTAACTTTATTGCACTTTTATTTTAAACTTACATTAATAAGTTATTATCCTCAAAATTCTTCATTTGTCCTCTGTTCAGGTTAATGGCATTAATGTAGAACATGCAACCCATGAAGAAGTGGTAAGTGAATTACGTTTTATGGTTTATGTTTTATTATTCTTTATTCTACTTATTTTGTCTATAACTTATATTTCATTGAGTATATCCATAGACACAGTCATAGAATTGAAAAGGAAAGCTTAAAAGATTTGGTAAATCATGTTACAAGAGGATATCTTGCAGAAGGCACCCCAGAAACATGATCAGGGACCTCACAACCACTGTTGAAGGCATATTTGATTAAGCCCATTTTACAGATAAGAGCACTGAAATCCAAGGAGTCTGTGGCTCTCCTGGGCCACCTGGATTGTCATCACTACTCTCACCAGCACCTCTGGCCTTCACTCCTACAGTGGTGCCAACACCAACTTGTGTGCATGTAGATGTCCAATGTGTAGATGCCATGGGGTACACACCTGTGATGACAGCCCAAGATGATGGGGTCATGCACTCACTCAGCCTTTCTTCCACAAGGACAACAACTTGGTCCAGTGTCCTAGCAGGCTCTGCAATACAAAGACAGGTACAATAGACATAGGACTTAGAAGCAGGAGTTGTGGCAGCCAAGCAGAGAGAAGACCTGCAGGGCAGCCTTGTGGGGTGGCCAACAGTGTGTGTTGGGAACATGGGGAAGGCCCTTCTGCCTGCCAGGAGTGGGGCAGAGGCAGAGATGGTGCCCAGGGATGAAATAATGGAAGGAGGGAATGGGGTGGTCCCTGAGCTCAGAGTAGACTAGGGACACCCAGTAGTGCATCAGGGAGTTTTATTCTGTGTTGCAGTGGAACCCAGCAGACTTTTACTTTGTCAGTATTCTCTATGAATATCAACAGGCTTGCATTCATTCATTCATTCATCAGTATTTATTTTTCAATTAGCCAAATAAGGGCAAACAGCCAAAAGTACTAAAAAAAAATCATCCCATTTGCAGACATTAAACTTCAGTGAAACCAAATGTACATATGTATTAATTTGTAACTAGATGAAGAATCACCTCATCCTTGCTATGTGAAATTGTCTGCTTCTTCACTGAAGACATGTTTGCTGACCCACCCTTATGTCTGATGCCACAAACCAGCAGACATTCATTTCTCTTGGCCTTAAAGGTCTCTTGAGCCTTGTGTTTCCTGAATAGATGAAATCTTCTCCCCCTTCTGGTTTTTGAGCTTAACAATACGTGGGAGCTTTCTGGTTTCTGCAGCAGTGTGATTTCTTAGGGGGATACTAAACACACAGTAATTGAAAGAGAAGCAATACCCACCTTGATGGCTTTCATCCTAACCCAAAGAAGGTAGTCTTGTGACTCACACAGCTGAGAAGGAGATACAGACCCCACTTAAATGTAATTAATTAATAGAAATGTATTGTACCTGCACAGGAGTCATTGCCATAGGAAGCAAGCGACCCTGAATGATAGATCAAATGGGTCTTTATACCCTATTTCTGTATCACAGAAAGTAGGCAAAGGTACAGAGGCTGGATCATTGTGGTTAGCCTTGGGCAGGGAGGAGGGATTGTGTAGTACAAGGGGACAGCAGGCGGTACATCAAGCCTCTCCTCCCTACATACTTTCTTATCTTTAAGCTTCTTCTCAGAGTTTCCCTCCCCACTTATGCACTCCCTTATCTTCATGCCTCTTCTCAGACTTCTCCTCCCACCCTTGAGGGGACTGGGACTAATGAATTCAAAGGAAGTCTCTTTTTCAAGAGTAGGGAGCTTGATTATCACATTCCCCACTGGTTTTAATGGAGAATCAAATCCTTAATTCATCTGAGTTATTTGGGATAAGTTGTCATGGGGACTAATTGAACCAGTACTTAGACTTTTAGGGACTGTGATTCTTCTTGGATTTTCTACTTAGGTCTTAACAGTACCATGGTGGTGGGCTAATATACATACGAGTTTTTACTTTTCTTTATGTGATATTGCCCCCCTTTCCCCAAAGTTCAGTTTAAAGTTCAATTAAGACAAGTCCCTTGACAAGTTTTCTCAGGCTTCAGCCATGCATTGACCAGCCAGCTTTCAGTATATGGCTGGAGAAGGGCATGTTGGGTGTCTTTACCTTTACTTCCCAAGGGGCAGTGAAGCTCTATTCAGCCAATTGTTATGACTCCACATCAGGATTCTCCTTATTCTTACTGCCTTGCGTGTGGTCAGGATGATGGTGTAAAGTCTCTTTTACTTTGGTTTGAGGGGGAATGGGTTCTGATCCTGGACCTAGACTTGGTCTCTTTGATCCTCCAGAGAGAAAGAATGTACAGACAAAAGACTAAATGGAATACAGTTAATTACTCAAGTGGAGATCTTTTGCTACTCTTTTTAGAGTTTTAGTCTATTTAATTTAGTCTCTTTCAGTTCTTTTAGGAGTCCCTGCTAAATTACAGAGGATTGACGGAGGCCTTCTGAATAACACAGTGGTGAAGGCCTTTATTTAATTAAGTTTGCTTTCTGGCAGAGTTTACAGATTCTTGTTCTTATGGCCCTGTTCATGTACTTTACTCTGTCCAACCTTTGAAGCCTGTAAGTTACATATAGTTTCCAGGCGATACTCAAAACTTTATTTATTATTTGTATTATATTTGTTATGAAGGCTAGCCCATTGTCAAATATAAACCAGAGTAGCAACCTAAACAATGGGATGATTTTTCTGGGCAACATTTAGATGCAGCAGATAATATTTAATACTGCACACATTTTTCTTTTCTTTCTTTCTTCTTCTTCTTTTTTTTTTCCATTTTTTGGCTGGAGCTGGGTTTGAACCCACCACCTCTGGCATATGGGGCCAGCGCCCTACTCCTTTGAGCCACAGGCATTGCCCACACATTTTTCAGTATAGCCAACAGGTGACCTTTGTTGAGTCTTAAGGCTTTAGGGCAAACATAATTACTGTATATAATTTTGTATTTTTCCCTTAGTCCCATTTAACGGATCAGTCTAGTAAAATAGTTATATTTTATTTTATCAGTTGACAGTACAAGCAAGGCTGAGATTTAATACAGGTGGGCTATAGCCTCTTTTTTGAACTATTTTTTTCTCTCTGATTTCCTTTTCCACCAAAGACAAATTACAGCAGAACTAACTCAGTTGCCAAAATAAATTGTACCTTTAGTATACTGGGTTTGATTATTTGTATAAAGTGCAATAAGAATAATTAATTATTAGCTATTCAGGCTCTCCTTTAAAATTGGCTTTGCTGGAATCCTTTATAAGAATTTTAGGTTTGACTTTTTTAAAAGCCTTTTGAGCCCAGGTTTCATCTGTGCCATCTGTGCCATTAGATACCTTTATGCACTGGGTCAATCCCACTTCTCTTGAAGTTCCCAAGCACATTTTGATTCCCGGACCTGTCATAAAGTGACCTTCGTTACTTACCACAGATCAGGAAACATTACTGATGGGCATCTGGGCAGTTTTTTCAAAGGGCTTTTTTATATAGTCAAACTTAATTCCTTAATGCAGTCTGGAGCACCTCTGGAAATGTTATTCCAGCCAAAGCCTTGGTAAAATAACCAGTGCCTTCATCATGTCCTATAGAACAAAACAGATTCTTACTGAACTTATGCAAATTACTGTATTTGTCAGAAATTAAGAATACTTACAAATGGCTTTTAAATTCCAGAGAAATCAAGGAGAGAGAAAAAATACATGTTTCAAACTCTGCTTGTAAGTACATACATTGCTTGAAAAGCTACAAATAGCTCAAAAGACAGGAATTTTTTTTAACTTCTGGAAAATAGAACATAGAAAGAATTAACAATATTTCAAACAAAAAGTTATAACAAACTAGCTCAGTTCCATGTAACTGATTTCTGTTCGGTTTGAAGCTAGGTTAGCAATACTCGTAGACCCTTAAATTTCCAATGAAAATTCTAAAAATTTATTTTTAGTCTGAAGGTATTTGATTTCTAAAGATATCAGGAGTTTAAATTAAGAGAATCCATTGGCCTCTTTTAATATTTCTTTTCTCTTTTTTAGGACAAACTTTGGACTCAATCAGTTACAAAAAACATTTTCTTTCTTTTTTTTGAGATGGATTGAAATTATTACCAACAATACATGTTAGGATAAACTTATGTGTTTAGGACAGACCAATGTCTTGTAATATTGGAATATACATATAATTATAATTTACACAAAATTAATTACCATTTTATATTTGATGATGTTTCCCATACATTTTTAATAAATTAAATAAATTTAATTTGTTTTTCTTAGGTTTAGAACCTGTTAAGGTTAATTTAGCTCGGTGTAGTTTGTTCTTATCTTTAGAGGAGTTCCTCACAGCTGCCTGCTGCTTTTTTAAGATTACTAAGAAGTATATTGTTATTCATTTTAGTTAGTCTTCAAGCACTCACATACACACATTCTAACTCATTTCTTAATTGGGGAAGCTTCAATATTTTACTCAAATTGCTACTTAAGACAGAATCAATGGGAAAACAGAAGGGGTAAGTTGCTGGGATCTTTATACAGTTTAAGAGTGTTTTCACTTCCTGCAATAGAGACCTCCTTAGACTAAGAAAAGGAGAGGACCACCTGTTGAGGGCTAGTAGCTCTGATAGAAGAATCCTTCCCAGGTGATAGAAAAAGAAGGGGCCCAAAGTCTGGCAAGGAAGGGGCATTAAAGAGCTAGGGAGACACAGAAGAATTAGAACTAGCTGGGAAAAATTCTCCAGGTGTGGACAGAACATGAACAAGGTCACCACAAAGAGATAAAAACAAGTCAGGGTTATACACTTTCCAGTGGACCAGTTCAGAGGGGCCTTGCTACCAAGCCCAATACCAATAAGGATGAAGAGACCAATGATTGCCAGGCCAAAGGCATACCAGGTGGTGAGGGGTGTAGGACACATAAGAACAGATAGGCAAATAAAGTGATTTTAGAAGGCGCAAAGTCTTAAGGGTCCCTTGAAGGAAAAGATCTGCAATCCACTCACAAATGTCTCCAGAACTGTTTGTTTCAGACCAAGACCAATCCTCCAACAAATACTGAATAAATGACACAAAATGACAAAACAGATACG